CCCAGGAGTTGGAGGTTGCTGTGAGCGTGATGCCATGGCACTCTACCCAGGGGGATAGCTTGAGGTTCCGTCTCAAAAAAAAAAAAAAAAAAAAAAGAAGCTCAAGTCTTTCATCTGTGAAAAAGTGATATGATCTCTAGGAATGATTGTGTAAAGATTAAGTAAGAATGCCTGTAAACCAGGTCTTTAAAAATAAGATAGTAAGTCCTCTCATTAATTTGTAAATGAATGAATGCTGAGGAAATACAGGAATTAAATAAAACACACAGAATATTCACTGCAATGTGATAACAAGTGCATTCTAGATAACGAATGCATTCTAAATTTATTCTAGAGGTCTAATAATTATAGAATGATTATATTTTATAGTACTATCTCTTTAACCTATTTCTAGGTAAGTACCCTATAGAAATCTACAAACATGTGAGGATACACAAATAAGGATGACCTATGGAAAACAATGGAGACAAATGTTCCAAGGAAGAGTGATGACTAGTCAATTAAGGGCTTGATGCCCATAGCTCAGTGGTTACGGTGCCAGCCACATACACCGGGGCTGGTGGGTTCCAGCCTGGCCTGGGCCTACTAAATAATGACAACTACAATAACACACACACACACACACACACACATATATATATCTAGGCGTTGTGGTGGGTACCTGTAGTCCCAGCTACTTGAGAGGCTGAGATAAGAGAATTGCTTAAGCCAAAGAGTTTGAGGTTGCTGTGAGCTGTGACACCATAGCACTCTACTGAGGGTGACATAGTGAGATTCTGTCTCAAAAATAAATAAAATCAATTAAGGAGCATCCTCCCATGAAAGGTTATGCACCTTTTAACATAATGAAGGGGGCTATGATTTACTAATGTGGGACATAGTATATAAGTGAACAATGAGTGAAAAAAGAAAATATTTGCACTATATAAAGAAAGGTCTGCTTCTCTAAGAGCAATTACCTCTTGAGAACTCACTTTGTACTCTTATTACTTGACATTTGTGTTACTTTTATAATTAAACAAAGTTATAAGACCAGCAATAGTAAGGATTATGCTATGCAGCAACACAAAACAGACTTTTCTACAGCCATTTAATTTAAAAGTAAATTCAAAAGTATGTATATGGGCTCGGCACCTATAGCTCAACCGGCTAAGGCGCCAGCCATGTACACCTAAGGTGGAGGGTTCGAATCCCCAGCCCGGACCCGCCAAAACAACAATGACGGCTGCAACCAAAAAATGGCCGGGCATTGTGGCGGCCGCCTGTGGTCCCAGCTACCTGGGAGGCTGAGGCAGGAGACTCGCTTGAGCCCAGGAGTCCGAGGTTGCTGTGAGCAGTGAAGCCATAGCACTCTACCCAGGGGGACAGCTTGAGGCTCTGTCTCAAAAAAAAAAAAAAAAAAAAAGTATGTATATGACTTTGAAAAATAGATGTGTGGACAGGGAATAGTAAGAGATCATGAAAAACAAAAATAGCTTCCCTTTAAATATCCTTTAATGTTGTTACAGTGGATATACAATGAACAAATGGGTGAAAAGGGAGAAATTCCTTGGTACTAAGGTTGTTTTTGTTTTGTTTTAACTAGCAGGAACACAAATTTGTCTCAGACTGCATTTGGGCTTTCCCTTTTTTCCCCCCCTTCCTTGGACACAGATGGAAATGGACCGGGGTGGGCTCACCCTCAGTAACTAAACAAAAATCTCCAGCCCCAGGGGCCCATCCTGCAGCAGCTTATTCTCAAAACCCTACCCAAACCATCCACAGTGACAAGCCCTTTTGAGGGTGTATGACTGGGGTGGGCTAACTACAGCTAACAGACCCTAGACCTAATTTGTAAGGCTCAGAAAGCTAAAAATGTCTTTTAAGTGGTTAAATGGTCATGTAAGTACCTACATAATATCCTTGATATTATCCTCTCCAATTCATAAAGCTGAAATTATTTACTATCTAGCCCTTTAGGAAAAAATTGAGGGACCCTCTCTACTCTCTCCTAGACCTCAGTTAGGGAACAAAAAGACCAATCTGGGACCCAAGTGCTCAACCCAGAGAACTGAGAGCTTGGGCTGTGCCTCAGGCGCCTGGAGTTGGCCTCCTGCCTGCTGTCCTGCTGGCAGGGAAGGGCTGAGCACCCCAGGTGGGGCTTGACTGTTCCTTCAGTCCCCTTCACAGCACCCCTGCGGCTCTGGAGGGAGTACGGCGTGGACAGCCCCAGCGTTCCCGCAGGCAGAAGTGCCAGACCAGAGCGGAGCAGCTCAGCAGCACCAGGGCGGTGCCCACCCCCACAGCAGTGTGGACCAGGGTGAGGGGGCTTGGCGGCACAGATAGACTGCGGCAAGGCCCAAAGACAGGCACGTCTGCCCCCTCAGGGCCCTCCCAACCTGCTCCAGGCACGTGACTTTCCCCAGCCTCATTAGCCGCCACCACGCAAACGACATAGGAGCCCCCAGGTTTCAGTCCCTTAAGCTCTGCTCTTCGGAAGGTAGCGTTCAGCAGGGGACCCTTTTGCGGTGCTCTATTGCCTTCTCTAAGCAGCAGCCAGTAATGGTGGACCGGGGAGAAAGGGGCACACCAGTGGACCACAGCCAGACCCTCCTGAGCCACAACATGCACCTCTCCCAGGCGTGGCGGTTCGGGAGGCTGAGCAGGGCTGGATAGCCCCGGGCACAGGCAGGCAGTTGGACCAGCCCTCTGCAGCTCCTTGCAGGGCACCTGCAGGTGTCTGCAGCGGTCATAGTCACATCGAACAGCGGGGGGCAACGCTGTCTTATCTTCCTCCTCTTCCTCAAAGTCTTGAGGGGTCAAGGACTGAGCTCTAGGAACCAAAGAGAAGGTCATGGCCAGGAGCCACAGAAAGCAGGTAGAGGCCAGCATGGAGTCTGGAAGGAAAGGATAAAGGCTGTTAGCCCACAAGGCTTCCAGGCCCTCCCTGGATCAAACCTCAGTGGACAGGGAAACAACTAGAGACCCATGTAGGAAGAGAAAAGAGATGGAAACAAGACTCATTTGTCAACCAACTTCTTAATCCAGGCTATGTGTTTGGTTTCAGGCAACAAAGAATAAAGTATAATTTGACACGTGAGTGAGACAGATGTGACCAGCAATGTGTTAAGTATTAGAAACAGTTAAAGAATAAAGAAAGTAGGATAGAAAAGAGGAAATGATTTACTTGGACCAGAGGAAAATGGTAGAATAATTCCCAGCTGCCACCCAGAGAAAAGATATGAATAAACAAATTATCAGTCAGCAACACATGCAAAAGTCCAGAAAGGAGATAGAAGTGAGGGAGAAGAGATAGAACAGAAGGTGAAATAAAGACCCTGATTACCCACCTGCTATCTGTGCAAATCCTGCCCAAGGAGTCCCGGGCCCCACCTGTGCCCCACCTCCTCTTTCTTAGCCCACAGCAGCCCCTTACCAGCAGGTAGGCCTTGATATAGCTGGAATCTGCCACTAGAGGTCTGTGGGTATGAGGCTGAAGGGGTCCCAGGATCGCAGGCTGCTCTGTCAGGTTGTATTTTCAATTTCAATTCTATTTTGCGTTGAAACTTTTATACTCTTCAACTGTGATGTCACCACCTAGCCCCGCTCCTTCTCTCCCTTTCCTGGTGATTGCCAAAAAGAGGATTGCTTCCTTCTGGGGCCGCCTGAGTCACAAGGCCAGGGATAGAGAAAGCCACATGTGGTGGTTGCAGCTGGAGCCCAGGATGCCTGGGTTCTGAAAGGGGAGTGGAATGCGGTCTGCAGCCAGGAGTGGAGAATCCAACCGCTGAAGTCATGTGAAGCTATGGGGAGGGGAAAATGGGAGAGCCCGCCACCTGGCTGGTATCAGAGAGGAAAACAGCTGTGAACATGGGCCTGAGCTACAAAGTTGTGTTTTAGTAAAAATCATACCACATCCATGGCAGTCATTTCCTGTCTTCTGCCTCCCAATGGACAGAGAAAGGGAGGGGTGCACAGGGGGCCAGAATGATGTATCCTAGTTCTCCAGACCCGCCCTGCACTGAGGGAGATGAGAGTCACATGAATAGAGCAGGAGGCCTGAGAGGGGCCAGAACTGCTTCTCTCTCCTTGGACTCCCTAGGCTTATGTATGAATGCAAACAGCTGTGCTTGACATTGCCTGAGATGGAGGGCTTCCCCCTTCAGGTAGTCCCTGACACCAGACACCTCTTCAGACAGGAGATTTTCTTTTCTTTTTTTTTTTTTTTT